CCTCCTCCTCCTCATCCTTTCCTCATCCCTCCTCCTCCTCTTCTCCTCCTCCTCCTCCTTCCTCCTCCTCATCCTCATCCTCTTCCTCATCCTCATCCTCATCCTCATCTCATCATATCATCACATCATCTACTCATCATCTCATCATTCATCATCATCATCATATTCTTATCATCATCGTCATCTGCATTCATCAGCATCAGCGCATCTTCTCCCTACTCCTCCTCCTTCCTCCTCCCCCTCCTCATTTCTTCCCTCCTCTCCATCCTCGCCTCCTCCTCATTCCACCTCTCCTCCTCCAACTCATCCCTCCTCCTTCTCCTCCTCCTCCTCCTCCTCCTCCTCCTACTCCGACGACGACGACGACGACGACGACGACGACGACGACGGTGACGCTCCCCTGAAGGCGCTCCTCCCCCGAGAGGCTCAGGCCCCGCGCGCCGTGAGGGCCGTCGCTCATGCGCAGGGGCGGCAGGCCGATCCTGCGGAGGTGCGCCGCCCGGGCGAGCAGGAGGGCAAAGGGGGGGGAAGGGGGGGGAGGGAGGGAAGGGAGGGAGGGAGGAAGGGAGGGAGGATGAGGATGATGATGATGATGATGATGATGATGAGGAGGAGGAGGAGGAGGAGGAGGAGGAGGAGGAGGAGGAGGAGGAGGAGGAGGAGGGAGGGAGGGAGGGAGGGAGGGAGGAGGTGGGGAGGGAGGGAGGGAGGAAAGGAGGAGGATGAGGAGGCCCACACGGCGGAGCCGCACAAGGACGCCCCCGAGAGGCCCAGACCCTTCCAAAACGCACGGGGGGGCTCGCCCGCCCGGGGGAGGGAGGGGGGGCGATCGGGGGATGGGCGAGGGGGCGAGGAGGGATTCAGTCGAGAGCGTCCTGGGGGTGCTTGGTACGGGTAGGAGTGCTATCCATATCCGGTGTGTGTGTGTGTGTGTTGGACTTTCTCGAAAGGAGCGCCACAAGGCCAGGGCGCACTGGACATGGACAACAATTGGAGCCTCTGGGGGCCATACTTCCGTCCATGCATCCAGTGCGCCTCGTGATTCTGGGGAAGGGAGCCCGGAACTCCAAGCTGCAGTGGATATGGACACAAGTCTCACCCGCACCCGAATCGCCGGCCCGGCCCTTCGATCGCCTCGTGCATCGCGCGAAGTCGCAGCCGTTCCCTCGGCCCGATCGTGGGGAGACCAAAAGGTACCGATACCGCTACTTCCCGGACCTCTCCTCGAGCGCGTTCTGACAAGGATTTCGGAGCGAATCCAGCGGTGGCGACGAGGGCCTCCCAGGAAGCCGAGAAAGTGCAGGGCGGGCGAAGGGGTAGCCGTATGGATACCTTTCCCTCCTCTGAGAACGTCGAGTCGACCCAGACCATGCCCGTCGCGCCGCTTCTCGGGTCGGGCGAAAGGGGGGGATAGCAAAGGGGGGGTTTGAGAATCAGCTCACGTAGCTGGTTTTCCCGGCGCCTCCCGGCGCCGGAAGCGGCTATGTATCGAGGAATGGGCCCCTCGGTGAGGCCGAAACCAGCTGCATGCAGCAGATTTCGTAACCCCCCCTTTCCCAATCCCCCCCTTTTGCCCGTCGCGCCGCTTCGCAGGCGTGCCTGGACGGCCCGCCCCTGGATCGTCCCGAACGGTGGCCGGAGGCCCGAGGTGTGGCCCGACGAGCGCAGGCGCGGGGAGGTCGCCCCACCTCCTCGGAGGAGCAGGAGGAGACGAGGAGGAGGACGAGGAGAAGGACGATAGGGGGAGGAGGACGGGGAGTGCGACAACGAGGAGGACGACAACGAGGCAGGGGAACTGGAGGAGGGAGAGGGAGGAGGGAGGATGTGTATACATACATATATAGGCATGCATGCATGCATGCATGCATGCATGCATGCATGCATGCATGGATGCACGCACGCATGCATGCATGCATGCCTGCACGCATACATACATACATGCACACATACAATCATACATACATGACATGCGTACATGCATGCCTATCTACCTACATACATACATACCTACATGCACACACACATGACTATGACTATACATACAAACATGCGTGCACGCATACATGCATACACACATACATGCATGAACGCATGCATACATACACGCATACAACATGTACACATACCTACATACATACATGCATACATATATAGACACAGGCGTACCCACATGCATGCATACATACATACCGTCATCCATACACATATGCGCATGCACACATCATACATACATACATGCATACATACATGCATCCATACATACACGCATACATACGGGCAGACAGACAGGACACACACACATTCAGACACACCTGCATGAATGCATGTTTGCATGCATACATACAAACACACATACATATATACATGCATACATTGATGTACGTATGCATGTATCTACGTGTGCCTGTACGTACGTATGTGCGCATGTCTGTATGAATGTGTGGATGCATGTGTATGTGTCTATGGATGCGTGCATGTATGCATGCGTGTATGTGGATGTATGCATGTATGCATGTATAGGTACCTGTATGTGTGCATGCGTATGTGTATGAGTGTCTGTATGTATGTGTGTATGTGCGTGTAATTATGTATGCATGTATGTGTGTATGTATGTAGATAGGTAAGTGTGGATGTATGCATGTGTGTGTATGGATGTATGCATGTGTACGTGTGTGTATGCGTGTATGTGTAGATGTGTACATACATGCACGTATGTAAGGACATATGTATGCATGCATGCGTGCATTCACGTACGCACGTATAGATATGTCGATGTCTATGTCCATGTCTACGTCTAGGTGTAGGTGCATGTGTATGTGTATAGATGTGTATGTGTACGTGCATGAATGCACGCATGCATGCATGCATGAATGCATGCATGCATTAATGTAAACACGTATATGCATGCATGCAGGCATGTATGTATGGAAGGGTGGATGGATGGAGGAATGGATGCATGGATGGATGTGTGCAAGGTCTCCCCCCTGAGATCATACAATCAGGCTCCAGATCCCTTCCGTCCTCCGTCTCATCTTTCCACCTTTGCCTTCTACAGGGAGCCCTGTGAACACGCAGCTGGCCTGCGAGGAACAAGGAGTAAGAGGAGGACGAGGAGGGCGAGGCGGAGCAGGAGGAGGAGGAGGAGGAGAAGGAAGAGGATGGAGGAGGTCCACCAACACTGTTATTTTCTCAGATGCCTCAAGCATACGAGGGGAACGGGCCAGCACACATTGCTACTTTCTCAGATCCCTAAGGCATGGGAGGAGAACTGGTCACCAAGCACTGCTATCCCCGACTATATAAGCATCGGAGGGTAGCTGGCCACCAACGACTGCTGTTTCCTGAGATCCCGAAGGTTCCCGCAGCCATTGTCAGGCGGGCCGACAAGGACGTGGGAATCCGCGGAACCTGAGGAACCTTATGAAATGTCGGCGCGTGGTGGCCATTCGCCATCGGAAGCCTTAGGAACCTTAGGACACAGCGACGTGTGGTGGGCATTATGCTGTCCTGTGCGCAGAGAGAGAAACAGAGAGAGAGAGAGAGGCCCGTGAAGTGTCGTGAGGGCTGATGACAACCAGGCCGTGCGAACAGTGATGGGGGAGGTTAGAGGAAGACGGAGGACTGGGGAGCACGCGCAGATGCAAGGAGGAGGGAATAGGAAGGAGGGGTGATGCCTCTCGATGTCCCCGTTTCTGGGGATCTCCGTGGGCGGATGCCTCATCCTGGTGCCCCCCTCTCCAGTTCTCCACGTCTTCCTCCCTCCTCACCCTCACCATTCCTCATCAGCATGCGCATGGTGATAAATAGGACATCGACCAATCCACAAACGGCATCACCCCTCCTGCGGCCCTCCGTGGTGCGCCGTGGGGGCCCGCAGCGCAGACCACGCACACGCCCGCGCCAGATGTGCTGCTGTGCGCTCAGACCGTGGGGCCGTGGGCAGGGTGGTGGTGTGTGTGTGTGTGTTTTCTGGTCCAACAGGGGGGAGGGGGAGCATGGATAGGGGGGGAGGGGGAGGGGCGAAGGGGGGGAGGGAGGAGGAGGAGGGTCGCAGGGGGGAGGGGGGAGGCGGGGGGGTGGTAAAGTGGTGTCGCTTGTATTCGGGTCCGAAGGATAGGAGGGAGGAGGGGGAGGAGGAGGAGGAGGAGGAGGAGGAGGAGGGGGAGGAGGAGGGAGGAGGAATGAAACATTAGGTCTGGGAGGGGCCGTTTCTTTCGCCGAACACCGCGTCGCCAGCCTGGCCCCAATCGGCCTTCCCCTCGTGCCCGTCCCTCCCGTATCGGTTCTTCCTGTCCTTCCCCTCGCGGTTTTCCTTCCCCCGCGTGTTTGTCCGTCCCCTCGTGTTTGTACGTCCCCTCTCGCGTGTCCTTCCCCTCGTGTGTGTGTGTGTCCTGGCCTCGTGGCGGTCCTTCCATTCCCCTCGTGAGCGTCCTCCCCCTCGTGCTTGCCCCGGCCCCATTGGCCTTCCCCTCGTGTTGGTCCGTCCCCTCGGCTTTGCCCTTCCCCTTGTGCACGTCCTGGCCCCAATTGGCCTTCCCCTCGGGTTTGTCCGCCACCTCGTGGTTGTCCTTCCCCTCTGGCCGTCCCGCCCTTCTGCTATCTGCGTTTCCTTGTGGTTCCACGGGCGTGGTGGCTGCCTGGCCGCCACATCGTGCCATGGCGTTCCAGCGTGCTGCTCGGAGCCGCCCCGAGCGCCTCGCCACGAGGACCATCACCGGCTCGGCCGCTTGGCGTTCAGACTGCGTCCATGTCTCGTGTCGAGTGTCTGCGTGCGGGCTTTCCCGTCGAAAGCTGTGATTTTCACAATGCTCGATGTGTCTGCAGTTGCTGTGAAGCGTCGTGCGTCACTGAGGGTAGGTGGGCGTCGTGTTTGACGAGGGCTGGGAGGGACAGTTGATGATGGCGGGGGAGGGAGGGAGGGAGGGAGGGAGAAAGGAGCACATGAGCATGGTCAGTAGTAGGAGGTAGGAGGAATGGGGAGGGGTGTGAGGGTGAAGGGTGAAGGAGCGGATGAGCATGGTCAGGAGTAGGAGGTATGAGGGATGGGGGAGGGGTGTGAGGGTAAAGTTTGGAGGACGGATGGACATGATCAGGAGTAGGCGGGAGGGATGGGGGAGGGGTGTGGAGGGTGGAGGGGGCACTGCTGAGCAGGACGAGGAAGTGAGAGAAAAGCAGACGGGGGGACAGGGAGGAGGAATAGCAGGCGGGGGCAGGAGGGCGGAACGGTGGAGGGGGAGTCGGCGGAGCAGGAAGCGGACTAGGATGGGGGGAGGAGCAGAGGAGGAGTCGAGCAGGAGGGAGACTCGCCTTGGCCAGGCTTCACACGAGTCCGCGGGCCCGTACCCTCCCTCCAGTCACCTTCGAATCGACGGCAAGCGAGGGGGGGGAAGCGAGAAGAAGGCCCTCTCAGAAGGCGGCGGGACTTCTCGGAAGCCCTCGCGCCGTCTGAGAAGCTGTCCGCATCTTCGGGGGATGCTCCGAAAACTTCTCAGAAGGCCGGGGGACTTCCGAGCCTTCTGAGAAGGCCCGCCCGTTATTTCTCACTTCCCCACCCAAGCGCGGCCGCCGACACCCCAAAGGGGGGCTCCCGGGGAAAATGGCTCAAATAACCCCCCAGGAGGCGGCTGGTTGAGGCGTGAGGAGGAGGATGAAAGAGGAGGAGGAGAGGACGAGGAGGAGGAGGTACGAGGAGGGAGGAGGAGGAGGAGGTGGAGGAGGAGGAAGGGACGCGATAGATGATTGGAGGGGGAGGAGGAGGAGGAGGAGGAGGAGGAGGAGGAGGAGGAGGAGGTGGAGGAGGGAGGAGGAGGAGGAGGAGGAGGAGGAGGAGGAGGAGGAGAGGCCCGTTCTCACTTCCCCCCCCCAGGCTCGCCGCCGCTAGAACCAATGCCGGCAGGAGTCGGCACCGGGAGTGGCGCGCGCTCACCCTGGCGGACGGAGGGCGCTCGCGCGCGGCCCTGCCTCCGACGACCTGGCGAGGGGAGGGAACGCGAGCCGTTCGCGCGCGGGGCTGCGACGAGGCCACCACGCAGCCCTCTCTCGCAGGGCCAAGCTCCCGAGGCGAGTGGCGAGGACGAAGCGTGCCCCGCGGCGAAGCACCACTGCCACCACTGTCGCGCCCAGGGCCGCGCGGCTCTGGGGCGACGACGACATGTCGCCGGCTCGTGCGCGACTCTGATGCCGCGCTCTGGCGACTCGGCGAGCGACCGCATAGGCGCCTCGCCCGGCCGGGAGCGCCGCACCCAGAGGAGGAGGAGGAGGAGGAGGAGGAGGAGGAGGAGGAGGAGGAGGAGGAGGGAGGAGGAGGAGGAGGAGGAGGAGGAGGAGGAGGAGGAGGAGGAGGAGGAGGAGGAGGAAAAGGAGGAGGAGGAGGAGGAGGAAGAGGAGGAGGAGGCGGAGGAGGAGGAGGATGAGGAGGAGGAAGAGGAGGACGAAAGCTGCACGGAGCCAGGGTGAGGGTGGTCACTCGCCCGTGCGAGCGCGGCCCCGCTCCCGACGAGTCTAGGCGAAGGGAACATACGCGCCGCGCCCCAGCGGAAGCGCCACGTTCGGACAAGATCTGAGCGGCGCTTCCGGGCGATAGCTGCGTTTTGCCCGCTCACGCGCGTTCCCGTCATCGACGAAGTGTCGGGCAAACTCTGCGACGCCGCCTCTGTATCGCGTTTTTTTCTGGGTCGGGCACAAGATCCCAAAAGCTATCGGCGGGCTAGGTGGCCTAGTGAGAGCAGACAGGCATTGATAAGGAGCTCATGTCGGAGGAGGAGGAGGAGGAGGAGGAGGAGGAGGAGGACGAGGAGATGGTGCTGTGCTGGGTGAGGAAGAGAAGGAGGGGAAGGGGGAAGGTAGAAAAGGAGGAGGAGGAGGGGAAGGAGGGGAAGGGTGGAGGAGGCGGATTGGACTAACCGAGCCGAACTTGAGAGGAGGACCGTGGCTTTAGCACGCACCGCCCACATCCTGGGGACGCCGCCAGCCTCCCACATGCCGCAACCAGAAAGCACGCCGACCTTCTCCTCCACTTTCTTCTCCTCCATCTGACCCTCGGCCTCATCCTCATCCAACTCCAACTCTACCTCCTTCTCCTGCTCCCCTCTGTAAATACTCTGTCTGGCTCGCCATCATCCTCCCTTCTCATCCTCCTCATCCGCCGTCTCTTCCTCCTGTTCCTCCTTTTCCTCGTCCATTTCCCGCCTGTCCCATCCTCCTCTTCTCCGCCTTCCCTTCCTCAACCTCGTCCGCGTCGTCGTCCTCCTCCCCCGCCAGCCGACCTTCTCCTCGGTGGTGAGGCACGCGAGCGTGTCCTCGACCCGGGCATCCTTGCGGCCGTCAACCCCGAGTAGCAAGGGCTCGGAGACCATCCGTGCCGAAGGCCCCGATGTGGTCAAGGACGATGCGGCCGCGGATGAGCTCGTGGATGTGCCGAGGATCAGCCCGGATCGGAAGGTGCCCCTCCGCTTCCTTCTACTTCCCATCCTGCTCGGCTTGTCCTTCCTGTCTGTCTCCTTCCCCTCCTCCTCCAGCTCCTCCCCCTCCTCCGCCTCCTCCTCATCCTCCTCCCAACCATTTTCTTCACAAGTAACACATCCCAAAACAAGACGCGTCGGTAGGGTGGGCCGGGCCTCTTGCCCGAGACGCTCTCGCCAGTGATGATCCTGAACAGTACAAGGTGCAATTGCTTCAAGAATGGAGGGCGCGCATTCGTTGCAAAATCTTTGAAAAAACTTAAGAGATGGTGGGGCGGCTCCTTTTCAACATGTGGCACTCGCCGTGGCGCCGCGCGCATGCGTCCTGCGCCTTGGCAGCAGTTTCAACATCTCGTGTGCCCGAAGTCCCAGGAATGACGTTACAGCACCTTTCAGGATTGCCAGGACACAGCAATAAGGCTGATTCGCTGTGAAAAATCAGGGGGATGCTGTTCTGTCCTGGCACGTTGAAGACCTGTCAGGATGCGTCAGTCACGCCGGCCCACGGCGTTGCAAATCCGAGAACGGCGGTATGGCGCACTTGAAAGTTCTCAGAGGCTTGTCTGCTAGTGCTAGGCCGGGCATGTTCTCCTACAGGCGGACTTGGTCGAAACTGAAAAAAACTGAAAAAACAAATCATCCAAACATGATCGACGCATCGCCCCCCAGACTATTTGAAACAATCATTGTTGAATGTTCCTCCTGCGGAGGGACATGCCCGACTTCATGCTGGTAAGACGAGCGCGTTCCACTACTCGCAAAGTGACTACTGTACTCGCAAGTGGCCTGGATCCGCTGGGGGGGATCTGCCAGAAATTATGTAGAATCAGACATGTGATTTCCGGGCGTTTGCGAGTGGGCACTGTGCGAGCAGTGGAACGCGCTCGGTGACTGGTGGGCTGGTGGGCCTTCCCCCCCTGCCCTCCCTCCCGGGCTCGTGCAAAGGTGAAGGGGCCCCAGGACACACAAATAGATACACACAAATAAAAAGATTCCCCATATTTTCACATACTTTCTGGGTTTCTGTTTTCCCCCCCACTTCCCATATTTTTGCATATTTTCCTGGGAGTCGACGATTAATTGTGTCTGTGTGTTTTTTCCCTCCTGAAAAGGGCAGACCCTCGGCGTGCCTGTGGCCGCGGAGGTGGTGGTGGATGGTGGCCGATGGGTGACCTGGGGAGACCAAAAAGGTACCGATACGGTGGGGGCATTGGATAAGGCACCCTTAGATACTCCAGATCTCGTAATAAAAGGAGGGGGTCTGGACCCTCCAAGACGAGCCATTTCAGACCCCCCCCACGTGGGAGAACCCTCCAGAACATCGTCCCCAGACCCCCTCAGGCCCTCCAAGATAGCCTGGAAGAGACCCCCCCCGAAATGAGACCCCCCGCCCTTTATTACGAAATCTGGAGTACCGATACGGTGGGGGCATTGGATAAGGCACCCTTAGATAAGGAACCCAGGGTCTGGAAGCTGGTGGAGCACCGACGGAGGCTCGGCCACGGATATCACCGCCGCCCTCATCAGAGAAGGATCCCTCCAGGGCCTGGAGCCTCCTTGCACGTTCCTCAACCAACGCCCCCACCGTACCGCCACTCCCCAAGGGTGCCTTCCGACAAGAACCTCGAGGCGAGCCCAGCGGTGGCGACTCGAGGGCCCCCGAAGGAGGCCCAAGAGGGGGAGACATCGAGGGAAGGGTCGCGGCTGGGGTGCCTCTTCCCCCCCCTCCGATGACCATGCCCCGGGGGGGAGGCCGAAAGGGGCGCGGCCCGAGCGTTCGAGCCACGGCGGCGGGAGCACGCAGGGCGCCGGGCTCCGCCGTGCTCGGCGCACGCGCGGGCCCCCCGCCGTGCCGCGCACCGAGCGACGCGCGGCACACCGCGGGTCGCGCGGCGTGCCCTTGCCCGCACGTGCCGCTTCGACCGGGCGGACCGGGCACTCCTGCCGCACGTGTCTGGTGGTCCCGCGCGCTGCACGAGACGTCGACGAGAGCAGCGTCGTGGGATTGCGGGAGGGGCTGCCCGAGCAGGGAGATCCGGAGGAAAACCAGGAGAGGACAAGATGGCACGCTGAGGTTGAGGAAGAGGAGGGGGGACGGGAGCAGGAGGAGGTGGTAGTGGTGAGGGAGGACGAGGACTGGGAGGAGCAGGAGGAGGAGGAGGATGAGGATGACGAGGAGGAGGAGAACACGGATGAGGACGAGGAGGAGGGGGAGACGGAGAAGGAGGAGGAGGAGGAGCAAGATGCGAGGGGGCTTGGGAACAGGAGCAGGAGGAACACGGGGGGGCAGGAAGCAAGCACACGACACACACACACACACACGCACTCCTTTCCTCCCCTCCTCTCCGATCGTCCTCCGACAGCTGCATCTCCTCCTCCTCACTCCTCCTCCTCCTCCTCCTCCTCCTCCTCCTCCTCCTCCTCACCCCCGCCTCCGCCGCTCCTGGATGAGAAGGGGGGGGGGATAGAAGGAGAGAGAGAGAGAGAGAGAGAGAAAAAAAAAAAAAAATTATGCTAACGGAGTTCCCCACATAAAGATGTTACGGGGTTCCATTGCTTCTTGTCTGCGCTCAGGCGGGGCCTCCCTGGAAGGGTGGGAGGGGCACGAAACCTGATAAATAATAACATGGTGTGCGAATACCCTGCTCGCTCAGGCGGGGCCCCTCTGGAGGGGTGGGAGGGGCACGAAACCTGATAAATAATATGGTGTGCGAATACCCTGCTCGCTCAGACGGGGCCCCCCTGGAGGGGTGGGAGGGGCACGAAACCTGATAAATAACATGGTGTGCGAATACCCTGCTCGCTCAGGCGGGGCCTCCCTGGAGAGGCGCTCGGAGGCCAACCAGGGCCCGGCGCGGCCGGCCAGGACCCATTGGGGGCACCGACAGTGGCGACCTGGATCCCAACTGGAAAACCAAAAATCCACTGCCGCGAGCGATCCTGGGCAACATGGCGCGCCCTGGAAGCTCATTGCGGGCGCCTCGCGCGACCCCGGGTAATTCCCCATATCCTAAGGATTGGGGTTCTTGTTATTACTCTGACGCCTCCCACTGCTCCTCCTTCCTCCTTCCTCCTTCCTCCCGCTCGCGCCTCCCTCCTCCCAATGATAATCACCAGATAAGACAAGACAATATAAGATACTACAAGATAAGATAAGATAGCACAAGATATGATAAGAAGAGATTTCAAGATATGATAAGATAAGTTAAGCTCACACTCACACTCTCTCATGATCACAAAACGCTGCCAGGGGCATCATTTGGGAGCCCCAAGGGGGAGCCACCCTGGCTGATCTCACGAGCCCGTTCGCGCCGATTTTGGTGGGACGTCAGCTAGAATTGCCGTTTGGCGCCCCCAACACGTATCTCTTGAGAGCCTCATGGTCACAAAACGCTGCCAGGGGCATCATTTGGGAGCCCCAAGGGGGAGCCACCCTGGCTGATCTCACGGGCCCGTTCGCGCCGATTTTGGTGGGACGCCTCAGCTAGAATTGCCGTTTGGCGTCCCCAACATGTATCTCTTGAGAGCCTCATGGTCGCAAAACGCTGCCAGGGGGCATCATTTGGGAGCCCCAAGGGGGAGCCACCCTGGCTGATCTCACGAGCCCGTTCGCGCCGATTTTGGCGGGACGTCTCAGCTAGAATTGCCGTTTGGCGCCCCCAACATGTATCTCTTGAGAGCCTCATGGTCGCAAAACGCTGCCAGGGGCATCATTTGGGAGCCCCAAGGGGGAGCCACCCTGGCTGATCTCACGAGCCCGTTCGCGCCGATTTTGGTGGGACGTCTCAGCTAGAATTGCCGTTTGGCGCCCCCAACATGGATCTGTTGAGAGCCTCATGGTCACAAAACGCTGCCAGGGGCATCATTTGGGAGCCCCAAGGGGGAGCCACCCTGGCTGATCTCACGAGCCCGTTCGCGCCGATTTTGGTGGGACGCCTCAGCTAGAATTGCCGTTTGGCGCCCCAAACATGTATCTCTTGAGAGCCTCATGGTCACAAAACGCTGCCAGGGGCATCATTTGGGAGCCCCAAGGGGGAGCCACCCTGGCTGATCTCACGAGCCCGTTCGCGCCGATTTTGGTGGGACGTCTCAGCTAGAATTGCCGTTTTGGCGCCCCCAACATGTATCTCTTGAGAGCCTCATGGTCGCAAAACGCTGCCAGGGGCATCATTTGGGAGCCCCAAGGGGGAGCCACCCTGGCTGATCTCACGAGCCCGTTCGCGCCGATTTTGGTGGGACGCCTCAGCTAGAATTGCCGTTTGGCCTCCCAAACATGTATCTCTTGAGAGCCTCATGGTCACAAAACGCTGCCAGGGGCATCATTTGGGAGCCCCAGGGGGGAGCCACCCTGGCTGATCTCACGAGCCCGTTCGCGCCGATTTTGGTGGGACGTCTCAGCTAGAATTGCCGTTTGGCGCCCCCAACATGTATCTCTTGAGAGCCTCATGGTCACAAAACGCTGCCAGGGGCATCATTTGGGAGCCCCAGGGGGGAGCCACCCTGGCTGATCTCACGAGCCCGTTCGCGCCGATTTTGGTGGGACGTCTCAGCTAGAATTGCCGTTTGGCGCCCCCAACATGTATCTCTTGAGAGCCTCATGGTCGCAAAACGCTGCCAGGGGTATCATTTGGGAGCCCCAAGGGGGAGCCACCCTGGCTGTTCTCACGAGCCCGTTCGCGCCGATTTTGGTGGGACGTCTCAGCTAGAATTGCCGTTTGGCGCCCCCAACATGTATCGCTTGAGAGCCTCATGGTCGCAAAACGCCGCCAGGGGCATCATTTGGGAGCCCCAAGGGGGAGCCACCCTGGCTGATCTCACGAGCCCGTTCGCGCCGATTTTGGTGGGACGTCTCAGCTAGAATTGCAGTTTGGCGCCCCCAACATGTATCTCTTGAGAGCCTCATGGTCACAAAACGCTGCCAGGGGCATCATTTGGGAGCCCCACGGGGGAGCCACCCTGGCTGTTCTCACGAGCCCGTTCGCGCCGATTTTGGTGGGACGTCTCAGCTAGAATTGCCGTTTGGCGCCCCCAACATGTATCTCTTGAGAGCCTCATGGTCACAAAACGCTGCCAGGGGCATCATTTGGGAGCCCCAAGGGGGAGCCACCCTGGCTGATCTCACGAGCCAGTTCGCGCCGATTTTGGTGGGACGTCTCAGCTAGAATTGCCGTTTGGCGCCCCCAACATGTATCTCTTGAGAGCCTCATGGTCACAAAACGCTGCCAGGGGCATCATTTGTGAGCCCCAAGGGGAGCCACCCTGGCTGATCTCACGAGCCCCGTGACGACAGAAGAGAGAGAGAGAGAGAGAGAGAGAGAGATGGGCGAGAGTCGAGAGGCAAGAGAGCATAAGGACGGGAGGAGAGAGAGGAGAGAGGAGAGAGGTAGAGATGAGAGAGAGCGAGAGAGAGAGGAAGCCGGGGGTGCATGGGGGGAGAGAGAGGGAGAGGAGGAGAGAGAGAGATGCGAGAGAGAGAGAGAGAGAGAGAGAGAGAGAGAGATTGAGAGAGAGAGAGTAGAGCGGACAATTAGGGAGACCAGGGTCCGTTCCGACGAGGCGCACGCCCCCCCCCCCCCCCTCTGTGCGACAACTCGCAAAACACTATTTGCGGCGGTGCAGCCTTTAGATGCGAGGGCGGGCAAAAAAAAAACCCTCCCCCCGCGCAGTGCGACAGACGCAACAGACGGCGGACAGACGGTGATGATCTCACCTGTCAGACCGCGTGAAGAAAGAGGCCCCAACAAGAAAGGCGACGTGCTGACACGTGGCTAGGCGGCTTGGCAGACCGCCAGTTGGGCGCTTGGCCGCAAAGCGGCGCGCAGTGACGGGGCACCCCCCGCCCCCGCGCCCTGACACCGTGGACGCGGAGCCACACGTACTCACGGGCAGGCAGAAGGGAGGAGATTAGCGCGGGGCACCAGGTGGAGCGCCGCGGAACGATGACAGCATAGCTTGGATGGTGAGTGACGGCACGGCACCATCGGGCGAGGGCGTAAGCAGCTCGGCGAAGGCTCGCCCGGCGCTGTGGAGGCGCTGGAGTAGAGGGCCTTGGCGAGCTTGGGCGGCGGCGAGGTCCGCGGCGAGAGCAACGCACCTCTGCTGGAGAGCTGCCATAGCCTGGGACAGCTCGGTTTCGCGGTCGGTGAGGGGTGGCTGCTCAGTGCCAGCGGCCG